TGTCCACAGCATTTCACTGATCCACTAGTTTAGATACTTGGTCAAAGAATGAAATAAGATTGGTTTGGTATGATCTGTTTTTGACAAACCCATGTGGGCTTCTGATTATAACTTTGTTTGCTTGTAGGTGTATGCAGATTTCTTACTTGAATATCTTTTCCAGGATTTTCCCAGGCTGATAGGTCTGTAGTTTCCTTGGTCTGGTCCCTTCTCCCTGTTTTGAATATGGGAATCACATCAGCTCTTTTCTAGTACTCAGGTAGTTCCCCGGTGTTCCAAGAACTTTGAACGTTATGGTGCAATAATTGCGAGATCATATCTGCCAGTGCTTTCAGGACTCTAGGATGTAATCCCCCCTCTCCCTTCAATACCATCAAGGCAATTAACACTTGACCAGTTCCAGACATTGGATATATAGCTGTAATAATGGACTAAAGCAAAACTAAAAGCCCTGAATAGGAAGACAAAAAAATAATGAATCATGGCATTCACCTCTGCAGCACCTTTGACAGACTGTATATACCAAGGAACATTGGTAGGTGTGGAATGTTGCAAGTACATCAGACAGTTGAAGAAGAAAAAAGGGTATTAGAAGAATATCTGAAGGACAGGGAAGAAGATGCACTGAAGCATTAATCCATGAAGGTTTACTGAATACCCACAAGATTATGCTGGCCTAGAAGAAAGATCAAATAAAGAATGGAAAAGAGACATAGCAAAGTAAAATATTATGTGGCTAGTACGTTTTTTAAACAGGAGAGATAACAAGAAGTCCTGGCAATGGCTTAGAGCAGGAAAATTGAAGAAAGAGACAAAGGGACTAATTCTGACTGCAGAAGACTAAGCCTTAAGAACAATTGCATGTAAAGTCAAAATTGAGAAGACGTAACAGGCAGCAAGTGATGCTTCTGCAAAAAACTTGAAAAAAACAGTGGGCCATGTAGTTAGCTGCTGCAAGACGATTGCACGGACTGACTATGAACAACTGCATGACAAAATAGCAACAGTGATGTATTGGATATCTGCAAAAAATACAGATTTGTCTGCAAGCAAGAACTGGTGGGAATATGAATACTTGCAAATAGAAATACAATGACTATGACAAAAGACAGCAAGGTACCAATAGTAAAAGGTGCCTTGACTAAACATCTTAAAACATCTAGAGTACTACTTGAACATCGTTGGCATTGACAGAATCTTCATTAGTCAATTACAGAGTGCAGCTTTGCTTGGAACAGGTTACATGCTACAATGGTACCTTTAATACAAGATATATGTATTAATGTGATCAAACAGCAGCTGCCTATCCCAGGTCTTTGGGAAGGACTCCCTAAGTAGATAAAAATGCCAATTTGTCTGAATATGTGACTGGGCAATCAACCATAATGGTAATAATAAACTGCTGAAGAACCAAAGCATGCATTGGCTGATAATTTAAAAGACAGCCAAGAATAAGCATTGATACAAGTTAAAAATTGAAATTGACTGAATGTAGAGAAAACAAAATATGAATGTTAAAATAATGTAATAAGAATATGAACAATATATTGGCAAGGAAATGGTTTGAATTGTCAATGTCAGACCTGCCCCAATTTATTCAGGAAAGAAAGAAATAGCAGACCTGGCAGTTAATTTCTATGAAAGATTGAAGGGAAAGTGGATGAAGATGAAACCTGGCAATGGCTTACAACTGGAACATTAAAAAAGGAACTGAAGGCTTGATTTTGGTTGCTCACAAGATGATCTAGGCCAGATTTTTTTAAAAAAATTATCAAATGACTTTGGGAAGATTGTACATACAAATAGATGAAACAGTACTTCAGATATTCAGTTCATATGAGAAGATCACACAAACTGCTTATAAACAATGATATAACACTGTTGCCGAAATGATTCATTGGAACATTTGTAAAAAATTACCATGTGCAAATAATGAAAAAGTGGTGGGAATATATAGTAAAAAAAAGTAGCTGAAATTGAGCAGATTAAAATATTGTCAGAAATTCTACATACAAACTGATACAATATTGTCCCATAATGTATCTAATTTAACTGTGACTGATCGGAATAAATTGTGGACAATTGATGTGGCATATGATAGAATAAAAGACAAAAAATTGGAGAAGATCACAGAATGTCAAGATCTGAAATTCAAAGTTGAAAAATTATAGCATAAACTGGCCATGGTAGTCCCAGAGGTTACCAGTACATTGGGTATCTTACTAAAACATCATGGACAAAACTTAGAAAATCTGTGCGCTGGCAAATTTCAATCTGTCACTTACAAAAGGCCACTGTTCTGACCCAGCCTAGTAGAAACAAGAAACAGACTCCTTGTCATGAAAAACCCCCCACTTTATTTACCTCTTGTGAATTAATTGTATTCACCCACTGAAAAGTCCAGGCAATAGTTCTTCAAGGAGTTAACTGCAGTAGAGACTTTATCAGTTCCTTGCAATAATTGCAAGGCCGTGAGCTCCCAGCTGAAAGACTGCAAATTAAGTTTTGGCAAGCAGTTTTTGTGGCATGAAACACCATGAGCAAAATCTTCAGAAATAAGAACTGTTGTCTCCTACGACAACCACTCCCCTTTCTTTCTATTTATTCCCCAGCCTGGGATGGGCCATTCAGCATCCATGTGTGCTTTGCCTCCTTGTTCTCCGTTGTTCCCCTCTCCTAACTGCTCTGCACATACGTGCATCTGGAACAGGCCCCAGCTGTTCTTCCTCCTCACTCATATCAGCCTCCAAAGGCAGCTACCTCTCCAGTGGCTGGGAAATGTCAGACGGCCCTGGCTCTATCTCTGCGTCCAACACAGAGCATTCATCAGAGCCTTCCCCAGCCCCCAGTGCTGGCCCAAGTTCATCCCCAACCTCCTCATCGTCCGAGTCTGCCGCCAGCTCCTCTGGCAGCTGGCAGTCCACAACAGCCACACTGCTTGGACATGCATGTATACTACAATAATACATTACAACCAGTGGTGGGATTCAATTTTTTTTACTACCGGTTCTGTGGGCATGGCTTGGTGGGTGTGGCAGGGGAAGGATACTGTAAAATCTCCAGTCGGTGGTATTTGCTGGTTCTCCGAACTACTCAAAATTTCTGCTACCGGTTCTCCAGAACCTGCTGAATACCACCTCTGATTACAACGTTCTTGAGAAGAATTTGGTACCTATGAAGGTCAATACTAACTAAAGAACTGCCATCTTTAGGTACATAGTAATAAACCACCAGAATGGTTCTATAGTGTAGGGCACGGGTGATATTCCAAGGGCTCACTTGAGAAGTATGTTTACCATGAATACATGTTTCTATCCCCTCAACTAATGACTGATCCAGGTTGTTGGCTTGCTTCCTTATTTACTTTTCCTTCTTACCAGAACACTAAAGATGTTCAATCATACCTGCATTTTGATTTCTTCAAGGCCTTTAAATAAGCACTGGAAAGAGATAGTGGAAATATTTGGTCTAGTGGTTAAGGCATTAGGCTAGAAACTAGGAAGCGATGAGTTCTGCCTTAACTGTGAAAACTGGCCAGGTAAATTTGGGGCAGTGACTCTCGCTCACCCCAAGCCGCCTCACAAGTTTATTGTTGTAGAAAAAATAGGAGAAAAGAGTATCGTGTATGTTAATCACTTTGAGTTATTTATAAAAATAAAACCTTTATTTCTGCAAAATAAAAATGAAAGTATAATTATGAAAATAATAAAGATGAGATAAAATAATAATAAATAAACGTGAGGAAAAAAGTAAAAGATAAGAGATCTAGGACATGGAACATGGAGGGATTTTCATCTTCTATGCTCTGGCAATATTTGTAGACTTTAGTCTGTGGTAGAAGAAGGTACGGTAATGTTTTTCTAAAGTTTCAATAAAAATACCTTTTTGGTATCATGCAAAGCAAGTTATTGCGCCAATTAGATATTCCCTCCAGCACTGTTTAGAAACTCGTGAGTGGAAAGGTTGAGTATCTCTCTTTTTATGACTTCCCATCCCCCGGTGGCAGCTATTTAATGAGGGGAAAAGCTGAATATGTAAAATGCTATTGCACATTTTGTATAAAAATATTCGACAAACCAGGATTAGTGAAATGTAACTTGGTTACTGTCCAGCTTCCTCTAACTTGTCCCTTTTTTTCCTGGACTCGGGATAAGAAGAAAGGTTGTGATTCTACAATTGTAATGCCATCTTGCCTTTTTTTTTTTTTTTTGAGCCTCCTAAAGATGTACCTGCCTAAGCTGATTATTTCAGTGCTGCACATCTACTCATCAGGAAATAAACATAGAGAACAGTCACTGCTTCATAGGTTCTTTGCCTTGTCAAAAAGATAAGTGCTTGGAGAGCGGGTGGGATATCTAATTATGAACACAGGAAATATATGTTTGTAGATCTGTGTTCTGTGTGTTTTGCCTACATGCAGTCAAATGCATAGTGACAAGCCTAGCTTTGCTTCTGTGTGATGTCTGAAAACTGATTAAATCTCTTACATTGATGCTTTGACACTGCGGCTGTTGTCAGCTTGACATCCTAAAGGTCAGCAGGAACAGCTTCTAATGTACAGCTTCTGCTGACTAAGAGGGAGAGGAGGCACCAAGTCACTTTCTATTTTTCCTTCTCCACTGAAGAATTTGAAGCACTCACCTGTGCTTTTAATGTTACGCTGCTGAGTATGGCTAGACTTCCCTGCCAAATCTACCAAAGGATATATTTCTCCCTGTCTTTTTACCATCGCTATCACAAACCTCCATTCATCAAAAGATCCCTTCTGGGGAAAAAAAAAAAGTGCCTTAAGGTGTCTGGCTTTTAGAATCAAAAGTGTTAGCTCAAAACCATAAGCAGGATACTTTGTTATGTCAAAATAAGACATCTGGCTGTACAACTGTTTCTCATTACTTCCCAGCCTGTAAAGTCCGGGGTTTGGCACTAGCCTTTTCTTCCAGGATGCTGCCCAAATCCAGCTTCCAGACAGCTAATCAAAGGCACTTGGTGGAGCACAGTGGGGGAAGGAGCTGGTTTTGGCCAGCTCAGAACCTAGCAGCCCGAGTGGGTCTCTGTGTTTGAACTCTCCGGGAGGACTCTTACTGCCGCCCTTGGATTCAATCATGCATACAAAGGGCTTTCTCGGCTTGGTGGTGCTGCTACTCGCCTCTTCAGTCTTCGTTTTGTTGCCTGCTATTCCACAAAGTTCATCCTTTTCCCCGCGGTAAGCTCTTATCAGTCTGCTTTAGCAATAAGCTTTGAGGTCTGGTGGACAATAGGGTGCAGGGAGAAAGTGCTGCTAAATAGAGTGCGTCGATGGCTTTTTGTTTCCTCAAACTGCTGCTGGTCTCTGTAACTTTAAGCAGAAATCCCGTTGTGATGCAAAAACAAATCTCTTGATGTACCGTTTTGTCAGTGAAGCGGAGATATACGCCCTACATCAATACTCCGAATGAGTGGGGATAGGCAAAACTGGCCCTGAATTTTGAATATAGCGCCCCCTTGAGTGTAAAAGGGGACTATCCAAAGGGAGTCTTTAAATAGTCTCCATTTAATATGATCTACTCATTTATAAACTTGCCGGTCAGGGCTGCCAGTTTCATGCTATTCTGTTTAAACTCATGTCTGCTAAAAGCCCTGACTCAGAAATACCAGTAATAAAGAAATGCACACACCTTCAAAAATTCTGGTTGTGAGACTAGCAATGTATCCAGGAGTGATAATACTGAAAAGACTCTGGCCTGGCATTTGTATGGCCTCAAATGTTTACCTCTGTACTTAAGGTCTGGGATAGCACTTGAAAGTTTTGATATCGTGGGGTTTCCTTTATCTAGATTATTCTCCTAAAACCAATCCCATTACCAACAATCTGAAACATTCTTTTGGGGAATGGAGAACTGGTGAGTTATAATTACAAAACTCTGATGCTTTGTAATATAATAAATACCCATAGAAAGATTTCAAAGGTGAATTTGCTCACGGGAAATATAAATGAATTGTCAAAAAATAGAGATGACATGTTTGATTACTTGGACAACTTGCCCAAACATTTTTGCTAACAATGGTTCTATGTTAGATGGCCTCTTTATATCTCTCTATGGATGAGTCAGTCTTAGGATTGTGCAGTGCTTCAGTTTCAGTTCCCAAAAGATGCTTCAGAACTCATAAAGTTGTAAGCAGAACAGTTGACTGCAACTGTTTAAAGTAGCTGTGTCGGTCTGGTAGTTCTGAGAAGGCCTGGCTGCTTTGATAAGTTGCAGGAAGTCTTACTCTGAAATTTGCATCCCTCTGAAGCATCTTTTTGGAATCAAATCCAAAACTCTGTGCAGTCATAGAAAGCACCATTCTTTCTATTCTTGAACCTTTAGAGCATCCTATGAAATAGTTTATCAGCAGAAGCAAAAATATGGATCCATTTTAGTAAATATGTGGCTGACAGAATGGTTTATCCAGGAGCTAATTCAGATTGTGTGGTCTTTGCAGAGGAAAAGAATGCTATGAACCAAGCTTTGGTTTCGGTTTGGGTTGGGTGTTTTGTTTTGTTTTTTGTATGTGTGATCAGAAAACAAATGAAGAGAGTAAAAGAATTGAAATGGAAATGGGCTGGTCATATAGCAAGAAGAACTGATGGCAGGTGGGCCAAGGCAGTCGTAGAATGGATCCCACTCGATAAAAAGCATCCATGAAAGATATCTATCTAAAACAAGATGGATCGACAACATCGGCAAGTATTGAGGGCCCAATTGGCAGAAGAAAGCAGAGGACCATACAGTTTGAAAACATGCAGAAGAAGCCTTCACCCTACAGTGGATAGACCATGGCTAAAATTATGATGATGATGATGATGATGAATACCCATGTCTTTGCAACTTGCTATTTTTTTCATCCTCTTCAGGAGTGGTTTGAAGAGCACCTCATCTTGCAGACTTTCCCAGTCTGAGTCAGAGCAGCGATGCCAAATCCCAGGTGGAAAACTGTGCAACGGCAAAGGCCAATGTAACTGTGGGGTCTGCATCTGTCAAGTGACTGAGCCAGGCAAATATTATGGGCCATTGTGTGAATGTCACGAGTGGGTATGCGAAACCTATGGTGGAGAAATCTGTGCAGGTAAGCAAGATGCAGCAATTCCAAAGAGTTCCACAATATGTTTAAGGACCGATCCTGTCAATTTTACATCTATCTGAACCAGTGTTGGGCTTTAGCAAATTATGAGCATTTTTCATTGGATTCTTTTAAATTTCTCAGTGTGGATGAATGAAGCTACCAAGAGAATTAGAATTGAAATGGCACACTCATTGAAGGACGATAGCAAAAAAAACAGCAACAACCCAACAGTTAAAGTTCCTTATCACCTCCATCTTTAAATATTTGGGTCCTTTGTAAAATTGAATGGAAATTTTAACTAAACTGTTATTTCTTTAACTGAAATCACTTTTGATTTTGGAGTTGGATTGATGGATTAGCATTAATTTGATACCTGTCTTCATTCCGGCTTAACTATGAAGGGTGTTAGGTTTCTTAATCTTTTTTTCTGGAGAACTACTATTTAGATCTATTTGAGGCGTTTCAATATAATGTGATGCTGTTAAACAATAGCATGTCCTTAGTTGACTAATAGAGAAAGAATTGACTATAGTATTTCGTATTAGGAATATGAATGACTTGGATTTGAAAGGGAGGATACGATTTGAAGTATATATGGGTGTGCACACGGTGCTGGTTATTATTTCTTTAATCCAAACACGTCTTTTCCTGCTCCTGCATGAAGCATACGTTGACTAAATGTTATGTTTAGTTCTATGTTGCTATCAATCTTAGAAGACTGGAGGGGCTCATAAAATAAGTCAGGATCTAGATGCACTCTTGGTTCTCAGTTGCCATTTATGGTTCCAAACTTTTAGTGAAAATTTGATACATAAACTGGCAGGGTCCAGGAGAAGAGCCATTTCTGGCATGGCTCCTGCCTCTGGAACATCATGCTGCTCAAGATCAAATCTGCCCCCTTGGCTTTCTGGCTCTGCTCTGATCAGCTTGGAGCCTGGATGGGGATGTTCCACTCTGGAAGTGGTTAATAGACTAAGAAGATTCTACCTCTGCTCCATTTGTGTATTGGTTACTTTCTTATCTAGGTTTTTTTTTTGTTCACTTTCAATGTTTTAACTTTATATTATTGTTTTGTGATGTTGTAAGTCATCCAGAGTCACTTGATGGTGAGATGGATGACATGTACATTCAATAAAGAAACAAACATTAGCAACTCACACCAGGAAAATAACTCCTTGCTAATACTTTCTGCCCAACCAAGAAGCAAGTTGATTAATTTCTGGTGTATTGGTAATCTTCCTCATACACTCAATCTCTTTCATATTAGCATCTCAGTGACGCTGAGTGATGGCTTCTAGGGACAATACCAAGAGTGACATAAAAAAATGAAGAATCCAAGTGTCTATGCAGATTTCATACTAGGAGAGCATCCTTAGTTTGAGTGTCATTAGTATTAGGGCTCTGACACTTGGGAGGAGGAGATGCCTTTGAGTCACTATTGACTCCTGACAACAGCCGAGACTAGTCCCTGCAGTTTTCTTTGCAAGATTTCTGAAATGATTGAGAGAGAGTGACTGGACCAGAGTCACCGAGCTGACTTTGTGCCTAAATGCACAACACACAGTCTCCCAGATTTTAGCCTATAGTGCCTTAACAACTATACCAAACAGGCTCTCTGACACTGCAATTGGAGCACTCAATGTCCTTCCTATAGTTTAAGACAGAACTGAAGTGTATTTTTTTTTAAGTTTAATACTGTTAATGGGTTTTAGCGTTTGTATTTTATGTCTGTTACACTCTAAGATTGTTTTTATTGATATTTTTCTATACTTTGTATGTTACCCAAAACTCTTAAGGGTATCATATAGTTTATCTCAATAACTAAATAAACTGAATTATGTTCTGAGAACTGATCCAATGCATACAAGTAAGCAAGTTCCTATGTTTCTGATAAATTGAGCAAGGAAGTTGCTTTTAAATACTTCCCCCACCCTCTTATGCAGTCTGATTTATACCTATTGTGCACATTGCACGATGTCCAAGTTGATTTTCCTTTTTCAAATACAGTATGCGAGTCAATTTAGCAACCTTTTTTAAAACTACTGATTTGTTCCCGCTTATTCAGTTAAAGGTAATGCAAATGCTTACTTCTGCCTACATAGAGCACTGATGATAGAGGAATGTGTATGAATTTTCTGATTAGATTCACAAAATCAGTCAATCAGTGTCTGGATCTACTCAACCTCCATTCTTTTTGCACTGTGGAGCTGTGCTCTTTATATATTCTGTGCATCCTTTGCTCTTTGTTTTGATTTTTATTGCAATTAGAATGGCAACAGATATTACATTAGGTATGTAAAAACATTTCCTACCCAGAATTCCCCTTAGATATACCATAATGTCAGACCTACTCAGATTTGTTTGATTTCATATCTTTCAGCATCTATTGTGCATTACAAAGTAAGATTCTGGCACATGTCTATTGGATTACAGACACTTACCAGGGACTGAGAACTGTAGGATACACTCAATTTTTTCGCATGTACATGCATAGATTGTTGCACAAGGAAGTCCTAACTATTGAGCAGTTTTCATCTGATGAGAATAGAAACAATTGTAGACTATAAATAATACTGGTATTTTCAACTGTTCTAATAGCTAACTGTCTGTTGTCAAGAGTTTTGCAAATCTCAATATAGGGAAAACATAATTTCCTCATTCGTCAAAGTACAGGATGTATTTTTCCCCAGATCACATCCTCTCTTAAATTTAGTCCCCTTTCCATGAAACGTGTCAGTTTTTTAGGCCAGAGTCCACAATTAGGTCAGTAAGAATGTTACAGAGAATGCCAATAATAACAAATGCATGCCAGCAATGTGCTTGGAAGATATTATAGGAAAAAATTAATACTAACTCGTTTTAGCATCAACTTTATTAAAAGGAAAATATCCAATGTCTAAGTTAAAAAAAATCTTATTGCAATGCTTACTTTGATCTATCTATCTATCTGGCTAGAAGCTATTAGACAGTGTCACACATTTAGAGATATCTAGTTCTCAGGACAGTCACATATTACATTTAGTAATATTTTCAGTGAAAATCCTGCCTTTCTTTTTTAATAAAAAGAGCAATGTTCCCATATATGAGGAAGAGTGCCTTCTCTCCTTAGCCACCAGATTCAGAATTCTGTTCTGTATCACAGTTGTGTTTTCATCTTTGTTTGAACCTTTGTGGCAATCACAATTTATTTGGGATCTCATAAGGGCCATGAGGAGCTCACAACGTCACATAGCCTATCAAAATTGTTCATGGATTGGAGCCTGTGGGGGCAAACAAAGCCACATTGCCCTCTTTAAGAGGGATAACATGCAACAGGACTAGCTAGCTCTGCTTTTTTGTTGCTATTGTTATATAGTGATGGCTTCAGGGTGAAAAATTGTACTGTTTTCAGTATAAACTGAAATTTGCCATTGCCAATATTTATCCTGAAACTGAACTCTGAAATATTCTGGAACAATTGGCTTTTCAGCACTAATCCTCCCTGAATTTCATGGCATTTTACTGCTGGGCCAGGAGGAGGATCAGGGATCACGTTCTTTAACTGTCAAGACACATTGAGTTCATAACGTTCACAAATTTCTTTCCCCTATGAATACTATTTCATATTACATAGATTTTTTTGTATAAAGCAGGCGGTGCTTTATACATCAGGTGCTTAAAAGGATTGTATTAAAATATTGTAGATTCAGATCATGGAGATAAATGAAGAACTCCATATCTGCAATCTTGGCTCATTTAAGAGCTTAAACATGAAAATTCTCACCTAAGAGCGCAAACAAATCTCCCTTGAGATAGCAGTTAATAAAGTTTTAAATATTTTGTGTTTGGGTGGGGCTTTGTATTGATTTCCTGCATATATATGAATGCATATGAATGAACAATACAATTTAAACAATTAACACTGTGGTCACAATATACTTCAAATAACATGACATTGGTATAGAAGAGATTTCCCATTTCACCGTGGATAATAAAAAAAAGCTATCAATGGATATGGCTGAGAAATAAAATTGAGAACATCTCTCATTTGCTTGATGGATTACACACTATTTATCATTATCAGAGAAAAACAGTAAAGTTTTAAGTTTTGATTCGGAATGCTATATATTAGTCCTGGCATCTATCATGTTTTGGAATTTGCACATGTGAAAATGTTTTAGATAGGATGTGAATGTTCTCTGAGGATAAACAGCAATATTATTTTCTATCCTTATTCAAGTACAGAAAATATACTCATTTGTTCTTATTATGCTATTAAATTGGATTATGACCTTTCTTTATTTTGAAAGTTATGCTGATTATCTGGCTCAATAATATCAGAAGGGGTTCTGTACCATTATCACCGATAATATATTGGTAGTACAAGTAGTTATCAACTTACGACTAGAATTGAGCCCAAAATTAATGTTGCTAATTGAGAAATTTGTTAAGTGAGCTTTGCCCCATTTTATGACTTTTCTTGCCACATTTATTAAGTGAATCACGGCAGTTGTTAAATTAGTAACGGTTGTAAAGTGAATCTGGTTTCTCCATTAACTTTGTCTGTCAGAAGGTAGTAAAAAGTTATCACATGTCCCCAGGATGCTTTAACTGTCTTAAATATGACAAAATAAGGAGCAAGGCACTGAGTCCACGAAGCAAGGAACAAACAATGAGTCCATGAAGTAAGAAAGAAGGCACTGGGTCCACGAAGCAAGGAAGAAGCAATGCAATCCTGCAAACTCCAGATGTCTGCAACGGCACACAAAACTCTACAAATTCAGCATTTGTTCCTGGCAAATGCCCCTCCCCACAGCACCTTCTTAAATCTTAGTTCCCAGGTGCGCCTTGTGAAGAGGGGCAGAGCGCTCCCCTCCGGAGTCATCGGGTCGACCTGCGCTGTTCCCACCTTCTCTCCACACTCCGTGCTGAAGGATAAGGAAGGGGTGGCCCTTGCTCATTGCCTGAGCTCCGTCGCTCCTGATGTCCATTGCTTGCCCACTCTCAGTCATCCAGCCCCCGTT